TGGGCCATGTAAAAGGTAGAAGCGAGTTGATCCAATTCTAGTCATTCGGCCAGTCTAGAACAAAATCTTTCATTAAGGATGATATACTATAAACAAATTTTTATGATATCCAATTTGAAGTTTGAAAGAAAATGAGACTGTTTATTTTATGAGAAAAAAAGAAATACACTGACAGTGTGTTGTACCCCAATTTTTGCCCCTAAGATTCCCATATCATATCATGTCAACTTGATCATAACAAGATCACATTAGGGTTGGTTCTTCCTCTTTTTCTATCTCCTATCTTTAAGTTTGCTCTTGAGGAATTTCCAAGCACATTGGTTATGTATTTTATATATGTGTTGTTGACTAACTTCTAATTAAAATACAAAAAAAATATTTGTCCTTGTCTTTGCAAAATTGTGTTTCAGGTACCAAGTCGAAGCATCCAACAAATAAGGTCATGCAAAGTTGATTGATCATGTATTGTGGCAAAAGGCAACATGCATCGACCCATAAAGGTATGTATCGACTCATCTTAGTGTGTATAACTGACATGTGTCGACACATGCATGTATGTATAGACTCATCCAATTTGAATAACTAGCATGTGTCGACACATGCATGTGTGTATCGACTCATCCTGTTTGTATAACTAGCATGTGTCGACACATACGTGTTATGTATCGACTCATGCGGTTTATGTGATTCTGTAATGTGTGGAAATAACAGTATGTACTAATGCATAGAGGCATGTATCGACACATGTTGTGTTATACATCTAGGATGTATCGACACATACCACCCATGTATCGACTCATAAGAGCAAAATACACGTGTTTTTTTTGAAAAAGCCAGCAATTCCAAATCTGTCTCATTTTTGGCTCCAATTTTTCCTGCATAATTTGAAATTATATCATTAATTCAATTTTGACTCCAAGAATCAATTACCAAATTACCACTAATCCCAATCCTAAACTCTATAAATAGAGACCTCGTTTCATTTAAATCACAAGCTTTTGATAGCCAAAATCATCTTGCTAAAAAATCTCTCAATTCTCTCCATCTACCAAATTCACTCAAAGCTCCATTTTCAAAAAAAGGATGGTAAGCTTTGCATTGAAGCTTACTAATCTTTGAGCTAAACCTTCATCCAAACACTTTTTCTTCATCAATTCTCTACATCCAAGCTTTGGTAATTGATTCTTGTTGTTGAATTGAAGCAAATTCTGGAAGTTGTTGATAATTCTCAAATTCTGCCTTTGGTAAGTCGGATCATCATCTTTCACAATGTGATCCCTTGTGGATTTCTGGTTTTGATTCATTGAGCACTGTTTTATGATTCCATTGGTGCTATTTTCTCATAATTTGATGGCATTTTCATGCTCAATTGGATCCATGATCATAAGGTGTTTGATGAAAAGTTGGAACAAGAATTTGATCTTTAAAATGCTATTTTCTACTGATTTTTAACAGGTTGCAATAAATTGTTGTAACATTGCAATTGATTGTCACAGAAAATTGATTTGATAAAAAACTGCATTGATGCAATAGGTTGTTGTCTAAGCAATTGATTGTAACAGTGCCAAAAATACTTTTTCTGCCTTATTTTGGGGCTGTTTTGGACTCAAATATTTTTCTGCTCATTATCTTTGATGGATAATTTGGATTACAATTTTAAATGTCCAATTTGTCTTTTAAACTCAATGGAATTTGTGATGTAGATGAAGTTGGATAAATATTCATCAATTCAAATCTACCTAAGAATGAATTATTTAATTCATTTTTGGTGCTTTGGATTAATGATATGTTTAGTGCTTTAATCCATCTAGAGGAGTGGTTGAATTTAAAGATGAAATGATTTTGAAATGGTAAACCAAATTAGCTTACCATTTCCCTCCCTCTTCATCTTATCCATTTCTTTTTTAATTGTGCTACATGTTAAGGAATATTGATCTCTATATATCATTTATCCAAACATGAAGTACATAGATTGCTATTGACCAACTTCAAAATAGGTGCGACTTCTACATAAGTCCACTTACGATTGCTTAACATAGCGCTAAATTTTGTCCTGATTCGAATAAATGATCATTCGTGGCCCAAACTTATGATTGCAAGCCCAAGTATGTTAATTTGATCTCTTTGATACAATAAACTTGAGATTTATTGTGTGGAGGCTTTGGTTCTACCAATCCTCTAATGGATCTACAACATCTTTGGTCAACGCAGATCACTTAAACATCGTTGATCATTAAATGTTACTTTTGAGGATTCCAAAATGGATGATATACTTGACAAAAAGCAAATGCAACTTGTTGTGTGGAGGCTTTGTTTCTACCAATCCTCTAATGAGTTCCAAATGCAAGTTTCAAGATGGTCATCCAGCTAACCACTAATTTCTAACAATTGACTTTACTTTATGCTTTTATTTTTTATGCTTTATGTACCATTTAATTTGAGCATTACATTTCATGCCATTTTTATTTTGCTCACTTGAGCATTTACTTTTATGTCATTTTTATTTTGCTCACTTGAGCTTTTATTTCCTTTTAAAAACACCTAATAATCAACATGAACCATAAAAATATTTAATGATACTTGAACTATTTGGTTACTATCCTTGGCATTATGGAGTATTGGACTTCTTAGACTTAAGATTAGAAACCTTAGCCTATCTTGGAGACTTTGTGACTTTATTTGATATTTTGTCTGGAGTTCTTGAGGTTTACCTCAAGACATTGGGTTGTTTGTTTATTTTGTGTGCAGATTATTGTGATTACATACTTTGTTTGTAATCTGGATTCTATATTGACTCATGATGTCAAATTGTGGCTTCTTGTTGGTTAGATGGTTCTTATCCCTTGCTTTTACCTTATGCTTTAGGATAACCTCTTCTTCTCCTCCCATCTTCTTTAATTTCAAAAATCTTCTCCCTCCTTTTGAAAATTCTTCTTGTTTTGAAACTTGAACCATTTTCATAATAAACTTGAACTTAGGTCCATGCATTTTCAAAATATTTTTATAAATCAATTTCAATCAATTTAATAATACCTTGACATTTTTTTGTGAGAAGACTAAAAGTCAATTAATCTCATTTCAAACTATTTTTGCCACTTTGGCTTTTTATTTTAAAACTTTTCTTAAAAGATTAGACTCTTGTCAATCCTTGTAGTGATGCAAACAACTATACTTCTACAATATGTAGTAAAGAGAGATATTTTCCACTTGGGTGCTGAGTGAGGCATTGTTGATTTTAAAATCCAAGCCATATCCTCCACTTTGAGATGATGCAAATTCTCCTTTCTCATGATTGTGGGTAGTAAGTATATTTTCCACACGGACAATGACGATGATGTCTTATCTCATAAAATTAACCAACACACTTGTATTTCAAATTTTTAAAAGAGGAACTACGTGTACCCTGATCCCCTATTGCACGAAAGGTGGTACGTAGGCACTAAAGGTTCGCAACCGCGGTAGGTGCAAAAATCATTAAAAAAAATATTTCTTTTCTCACCTCCACCATCCATTTTATATATAACACATTTTTATAGCCAAAATATACAGATTTTTCAAAGAGGTTCCTGCGGAGTACCGTGGATGTTTAGGGTGCTAATACATTCCCTTTGTATAACCAACCCCCTTACCTTGAATCTTTCCCCCTTTTTGGGTTATTCGCTCTTTTCCCATTCCTTTGGAAACAATAAAGCGCGGTGACAATTTTATTTTGATTTGTATAAAGTCTAGTCAATCCAATGACTTAGTCTTGAACATTTCTACCGCTACACAGTGTAAAATATTTTTACACTGTTAATCAATGAGAGACATACATCAAAATAAATTCCAATTTTATTTTTAAAATATTGACATGAAATGATAAATATAAGAGTTTTAATTGATTGTATGTGTAAAATTGTTTTACACTGAGCATATATTATCTTTAAACTCTTATTTTACACTTAATTGTTGATTAAACTAATTATAATTAATGTATTTTGAATATGAATTTGTGTTGATGTCATAATGTATTATTTTCAATTTTTAAATTAATAAAAATATTGTATTATATTGTTAAGAGTTTATAAGATGTAGTTAATAATTAAGAGTGCATTTAATGAATTATTTAATACATTTAATTGATAGTCAACTTTTATAAAAAATTAATGATTTTGGGTCTGTTTGATAAAAATAACGGTTAAATGATAAGTTAGTTAATAGTTTATAGTTAATTGTTGATGACTAATAATTTATAGTTGATGATCGAGACAGATGATTGATAAGCTAATTGAAGTGTTTGATAATATTAACGATTCAACTAAATTATAAATGTAAAATGACATAAAAAAATATTTAATATATAATTATTTTATTTTAAATTAAAAATTATTGAGAATAAAAATGAATTTTTATTAAAATGATAAAGATAAAAATAAATAAAAACTAAAACGTTATTTAAATAACATCTAAAAATAAACTATGAACTAATGAAATAAATTTATGATTAAAAGACTATTATTAAATATATTTAAAATGTCATAAATAAATTCCAATTTCATCACCCTATCTGGTCCAAAAATAAATTAAAATTAATATTTTGATCACACACAAAAAGTACTGTACGCCCCCAAAATTTTCGCTATGATGTCCTCCACCTCCACCAATATCCCTTTCCCATATTCTCAAATAAATAACGTGCGAGAGAAATCGTGTGAATGAGGAGGATAACTTCCGTATACTTCGCACATACTGTATCCCCTCTCATATCAGCCCCACGATTGACTAGAAACATATATCAGTCAAAACAGAAAAAAGAAAACTCATTAACACTTAACACGTAATCAATCTCATTGAGCTCACATGAACTCGCCCTTATCCTATCCCCTCTCCCCTTTTATTAAAAATGACGTTGGAAAATTCATTTCTCCCATTTACTCTTTCTCTAGTCAATTGCTTTCTTCACCAGGAGAAAAAGCACCCGGAGACTGTGACGGTTACGGTTACGGTTAAGGTTTCTCACAATGGCGGCGTCGCCACCTTCGTATCCTCCTCCTTCGCCTGCTCCCTCTATTTCTCCTGCTTTATCAGAGTCCACTTTCTCTCGTCTTCCTGTCATGTCTATGAGGAAGAAAATCGTCGATAAAATTCAACAGAATCGCGTCACTCTCATCATCGGCGAGACCGGTTGCGGTAAAACTTCATCAACTACTATTTTCTTTACGTTTGATGTTTGAATAGAGTTTTTATGACTGTATTGAAGTGTTATACTGTCCACGTCGAACACGACCACCGAGACTTTAAATTAATTTTATTTATTTATTTTTTTGAAATTATTACCGGTGTCGTGTAAGTGTGTCGTGTTCGGAGTGTCCCTCATATACACATTTCATGTTTGTATGAGAAGTTAAATTACAATTTCTTGTCCAGTGATTCTTGAATTTGTTTTATTACAAATTCAGGTATGTGCCATATAGCTATTTTTAAATATTGCATTGAAAAATGCTATTTGTTGGATTTTCACCATGTGTATTTTGACTTTATCTATATAAATATTTCCTATGTCAAATTTTAGACTGGTAGCCTTAACATACACTTATTTAGTAGCTTCCAAATACTATGGATAAAAGGAAATTTTGCAGTTACCATAACATTAATGCGGTTACTAGTAGTAAACATTATTGGATATGATCGGGTTTAATAAAAAGATCAATGTATGTGATTGGAGTTGCGACATTGAGTTTTTTGACATCTCTGTGCAATTACGTTTGAGGTTACATCAGCCATAGTCAATTGTGATTCTGTGGAATATTAAAGACCGTGATGTGCTTGCGACAGTGTTGTCGATGGCGGATTGGGTCCATGGTAGAGAGCCAAAATCCCGTCATAGTGGCCGCTTTGAGGCACTGTTATAGCGGATAATGGCAGAAAAAAGAAAAAACCTGCAATATCGGCCGGTATTTACCATTGCGGCAAGCCCAAAAACCGCCAAGTATATCCGCCATAGCGGCCATGGCGCCGCTATCTGGTAACGCTAGATTGCGGTTTAAAATATTTGATTTGATGTCATGCAAAGGAAGATACTTATTTCCTAAAACCTTTGAAATCTATAGACATAGACAATAAATAAAATTAATAGATTTCTTTTTGCATGTATATATATAGTAAAGAAATATAAAAAGCTGGGATGGTTTTAAAATATGCTTGTATGCTTTCATTCCTTCACTTGATAAAATGGGTGTGCGCAACTGAAAAGATTGTTATTTGTTCATCTCGTGCACTTTCGTTGATTTAAATATAGTCATTCATCATCTTTTGATGTTGCTGATAATTTTGTAACATTTTTGCTTGAAGGGAAAAGTTCACAAATTCCTCAGTTTCTTCTAGAAGAAAACATGACACCCATTTTGTGCACACTGCCTAGAAGATTTGCTGTTGTTTCTGTTGCCAAAATGGTTGCGAAAGCTCGTAATTGTCAATTGGGAGAACAAGTTGGGTATCATATCGGACATTCACGGCACTTCTCAGCTAGGTATTTTGAACACATTCACTTAAACTGGTTCATTTTTATTTTCGATACATATATGTGATCGTAATTCAATGACTTTCTTCATCTTATCCTTCATCCTATACTTGGTCCTGTTTCCTCGTTGCTTTTGTAGATGCAAGTCTCGAGTCTTGACATATTTTATATAGAGTAAATTTTGACCTGAATCTGTTGGATAGGCCTTCTCTTGACATATTTTAAGAGTGTATTTAATTGAATTGGATAATTTTATTTAATTTAAAAATGATATTATTATATGTTTGACCAGGATGCAAAGATATTATTATCCATAAATCATTACTTACATGCATGCTTCACCTTATGACAATACTACTCTAGTTATCATTACCTGCATAATGTGGCGCTCATATTTATTTTACAGTTAATAGTCCATTTTAAGGAAGAAATCTGGCACTCATTTTTCTTGAATGTAAATTTGTTTCAAGTAAAAGAAATATCCATATGATAAAGGTGTTATTATCCATTTTCTATACTGCCATACAATAGTACAAGTTTCATGTTATAGCACATTATCTATTGACACCTTTCATGGTATATTACAGTGTGACTACATTGTCCTTTATCACAGGGATGCCATTTTATGGAGGATATATGGCACCTATCTTTTTTTGGTTGTTCAGTTCTTATCATTACCATCTCTTTTCTTTTCTAACTGGGTTTCTATATTGTTGTACTGCAGTTCAGAGATTGTTTTTAAAACTGCTGGAGTGTTGTTGGATGAAATGCAAGAGAAGGGTTTGACCGCACTGAACTACAAGGTTATTATTCTTGACGAAGTACATGAAAGATCAGTGGAGTCTGATCTTGTACTAGTGTGTGTAAAGCAGTTTTTGTTAAACAACAATGACTTAAGGTTAGCATCTTGGTTTTGTTAGTGTTGAGAGAATATTTGGGAGAGTGAATTAAAGAGAGTTTTACATGCATATTTGTAAGAAAGTAGTTTATTTATTTAAAGATGAGAAGTGACAAATGCAATTGTTTTTTTAATTACAGTGATACCATATGTCCCTGTAGTCACTTCGTCTTTCTAATTATCCAAGTAATAAGAAGATCTTAGTCAAGAAGTCTATTTATTTCTCTTTCCTGGACTGCTTAGCGGGACTTTGTTGAAATCATAACCTCTCATTTCAATTTAAGACTCAAGTAGATGTTATGTTGATCAAATATTACGCATTTGCAGGGTGGTTTTGATGTCTGCTACTGCTGATATTTCAAGATATAGGGACTACTTTAGGGATCTGGGTAGAGGCGAGCGAGTTGAAGTGCTTGCAATTCCTAGCTCAAATCAGAACATGGTCTTTCAGCGAAGTGTTTCATATGTTGACCAGGCATGCATATGTACTCTGATAATTTTCTTCTTTTTAATTGAATAATGACCCAATCTCAGTTGTGTATATCTTCTCTATGGTATACATATTGAATGGTCTTAAATTATACTTCTACTTCACCTTCAGAATTATTTTGGGTTCTGAAACATATGGACATTTGAAAACTCCTGATGCTTATGCTCACTTATGTAATAATGTATGTAAAAGTCAGCTGTTCTTGCGAAGATTAACCAGTAACTTTGATGATTGATTTTCTGTTTGAGTTATGACACTGTTGATGATCATGTGATAACGGTGATTATAGTTCTAATCTTCTTATTACAGGTAGCTGAATCTCTTGGGATAAGTTCTGAAATAATGCATTCAAAATATTCTTCTTGTCTTAAGCTTTCACAATCCAATGCTTACATTAAGTCTGAAGTGCACATGCTTATTCATGAGCTGGTGTTGCATATACATAAGACTGAGACAGATATTGAGAAAAGCATTTTGGTATTCCTTCCAACCTACTATTCACTGGAGCAGCAATGGCGTCTTCTGAAGCCACTTGAATCAACTTTTAGAGTTCATATCTTACATGGTAGCATTGATACTGAACAAGCTCTCATGACTATGAAGATTTGGAAATCACATAGAAAGGTTTGTATTAGCTATTTCAGTCAGAAGTTTAGTAAATAATAGAAAGTTTTTTAAACTACAGAAGGACTTGTTTGTAGTGCAGTGTCGCTAACTTCATGTGTTGCAAAGATTACACAAAATTAATTATGAATCTTAAATGGAAGCTTTTTCTATTAATGGCAAATTATAGTTTTGCAAATTGAGTGTTCAAATGTTGAATTATAATATTTACTGTAATGAATTCAAATGTACAATAGTGATATGTAATTTAATTTATTTAAAAGATATATTTTTTCTTCCATATTTGTTTTTTAATATGAAAAGTTATAAGAGAAGCTATTAAGAAAGATCTTGAGATTAATGAGTTGGATTGAGGCATGATTTTTGATAGAACACTATGGCCTAGTTTGATTCATGTAGTCGACCGCACTTAGTGGGATGAGACTTGGTTGTAGTTTGATTTGATCTTTAATGGTTTTTTTTTAGTTACTTCTGTCTGGGTGGAATTTTTTTCAGAAGATTTTTTCCATTAATTTTTGTTTACGATATAATTTCTTCTACTGACATTCACAATATATTATGACTGGTTGCTGTCTGTCAGGTAATATTGGCTACCAATATTGCTGAATCTTCTGTGACAATACCTAAAGTGGCTTACGTCATTGATTCATGCCGATCATTACAAGTCTATTGGGATAAGTCCCGGAAAAAGGAATGTGCAGCACTTGTTTGGGTTTCCAAGTCTCAGGTACAAATGATCTTATTTCCATATTTTGTTTAGTTTTTAAGCTTTCCTTAGTTTCACTTGATAATCTTGTAGGCAAATCAACGTAGTGGAAGAACTGGTCGAACTTGTGATGGCCATGTTTATAGATTGGTTCCTAGATCGTTTTACAATGATCTTGAGGATCATGAGAGTCCAGTTATTCTTAAATTATCATTAAAGCTGCAAATTCTTTCTTTATGTTGTGCTGGATCCAAGGCCATCAATGATCCCAAAGGTAAGTTAGTTCATCTGGATTTCTTCGCCGAATATATTAGTTCATCTTGATTTTCCAGGAAATTGTTTTCTTACCCATTAATATTGAGAATACTTGTGTGCCTACTAAATTTAACTGCAATGTCTCTTAATAATTGTGGACATCAATTAACTTTGGAAGAGGCTGTAAATTTGACTTGAAATTTATGTCTATGTTTAAAATTTTATGTATTTGTAATTTAAGAACCCAACTACCAAATGCCATCTCCATGATTGAATAAGGTACAGAAATTGGTGGAGTTGTGTGATTAATCAGTCTATAGACTCTACAACTTTACACAAGAGTGTTTATAATCTCTTCAACATTTAATACAAATGAAATGATCTAAGGGCTACCAAAAAATAGTAAAATGCTGGGTTATCCTGTACAAATGAAATGGTCTAACTTATAACATGTAAGGCATTTAATACGAACACATACCAATTATGATGATGTTGTTAGCCTGACTAGTGGGTTTTGATGGCAGTTCTGTTGCAAAAAGCTCTGGATCCACCTGATCCTCAAATTGTTGAAGATGCATTGGATTTACTTGTTCAGATGCGCGCACTAGTTAAGACACCTCCTAGGGGCCGATATGAACCTACATTTTATGGTCGATTACTTGCTAGCTTTTCTTTATCTTTCGATGCATCTGTTCTAGTCCTCAAGTTTGGAGACATTGGTATGATACGTGAGGGCATTTTGCTGGGCATATTGATGGATACACAACCTTTACCCATTATTCACCCGTTTGGAGAGGATGAATTGGTAATGTCTATGATTTGAATCAAATGTACTATTTCCAAATGCTCTGATTCTTCGGCAATGTTGTGAGGTTCATCTAATTAAATCTTTTTATGTGTATCAGTTTGCAAAATACATCGATTGCTATTATGGTGACCGGACAGTCTTAGCTGGTCGAAAGGAGATGGAATTCATGGCTAACTTTTGTGCATTTCAGTTTTGGCAGCACATTTTCAAGGTAAAGAAGCTGTTTGGCTTTGCTGTTTGTACTATAAAATACATTGCCATTATTCAGTATCTACTCACCGACCAATATTAAATTTGTGAAATGTGCTCATTCATTGAAATTATTTACATATTGCTCACCAACCAATATTCTTATGCTTGTGGGGAATAATCCACTTAATTAGAGGGTTGCTTCAACATGGGTTTCTGTGATACTTTCATGCGAGAAAAACCCAAAAGAGACTAGGTACTAGAAGTTGCATCGTGCCTAGGAATAAGATTTTCCTCTTCAATCTGTACTGTAGCATTATGAATTTATGGAGAAAATATTCTTTCATATGCAGGATAAGTACCGGCTTGAACATTTAAAGGATGTTGTGAAGTCTGATGATGTATATCCCGACACACAGCTGATGCCTAAGCTTGAGGAAGATTGGTGTTCTTTCCATAATCTCTACCAATCATCTCTGCATCAGGTGTCAGAAATTTGTACGTGTCGACACGACTTGTCTAAATATGTACACTTTTGTATTTCTTTTTCAATTGGAAGTATATCATATTTTTGTAAATGCAATTTAGTGCACTGTTGCTTAAAATTTTGATCTTCTAACAATCCTTATTTTGGATCTTTACAGATAATGATATACTAAATACAATTCATCGGTTCCGGCCAAAATTTCTGAGCTCCTTTCGTGGCCCAATACCTGATTATGACCCTTATGAATTCAGACATGTATGCCTGTTCCAAAATCAGTCAGATGGACATTCAGATGTAGTTTCTGTAGATGAGGAGAGCTTTGAACCATCAAGTGAAACAGCGAAATGTGTTGCTGTACCATATGTTACTTTGAATCACTTGAACAGTTATGAAGTGGCAAAAATGTTTGCTTTAATTGTAAAAGAGGTATGCTTTTGAATCTTGCACGTAAAGTATCCTATGAATTTTTTTTCTTTCTAATAATAGGTGGGTTTTCTTCTCTGGCATGAAATAGACAAGAGCTCAGTACCAAGATGATTCTTTTCACCATCAACCAGAAGATGCCAACAACGGTAATTTCCACGTCAACGGGGATGTTTCTCCTTGTGTTTACTTCATTCGTGGATCCTGCAGCAGAGGCAGTTCATGTTCATTTTTACACACATTTCAGGCTAAGCGACCACAGTGCAAGTTCTTCTTTTCCTTGCAGGTGACTTCATCATTAATGATGATACATTATTAAGATTATGTATATTATTCCAAATTCTTCGTTTGAGTTTGACTACATTATGATTCTACCATTATTAAGATTATGGTTACTAATCAATGTTCATTGTAATAGGGTTGCCGAAATGGAGAATCTTGTGTATTTTCACATGATATGGACCGACCAGCAGTATTGGCCCGTCAAAACATCTGTCTGCCAGAAGATAATACCATGAGTTCTGCTTCCCTTCTGAACTTGTTTCCCAAATCTAGTGACAAATCAATTCTGATACTGGATGACACTTCTTTGCGTTTCTCCACATGCCTTGCTTGCCACTATGATCCATCCAAAATAATTTCAACTACAAGTGTGTCAGAAATAACCTTTACAGAACCATCTCTTACAGGAGTCAGAGTTTTATGGGGTCTAAATCATCCGTACCAAACAGTCATAGCCAAAGCAGGGAAGACTCTTATTCCTTGGAATGAAGTTCAATGTGTACTGTGGTTTCCTTGCTTCGATAGCTATGGTGAGGATTTGGATGGGAAAAAGAAGGTCTTGCAGAACTTCTTTGAATATCTAGCCATTCGAATTTTGGCTGATGAATTGAAGGAGATGAAAGTTATCATAACCATGAATAATATCAGGTTTTCCCAACTTCAGGTGATTTGCTTGTGCTCATGATCTCTTACCATTTAATGGTGTTATAAAAATAATGTTATTCATCACTTCTGCGACCATGATAGTCACTTGATAATTTCCCTAATTGGTCTGTCTGGGGCTATATGCTTATATTCAGAAGCCAAACCTTTCTGATAGATAGCATCGTAAACCAATACTGATAAATATGCTCTCAGAAATTAGATGTCAATGAATATGCACATAAACTTTAACACAGCCATTCATCAAGATGGTAGTACTAGTTATTGAACCTTTCAATCTACAAGATCTATAGAGGAAAAGGAAAATAAAAGAGAAAAATTGGTGAAGAAAACTTTATCTATACAGCTGCCATAACAAATTTTTTACAGCTTAAATAATTGACTGACTAAAATTAGATGAATAGATTCAACTAACTAAATGCAATGTTTTGGTTTCAGGTAGAGAAGTTGGGAAGAGACTGTTTCTTTATCCTTAAAGAGTCATTTGCTTTTGATGAAATTAGCTTCGGGATATTACATGACTGTGTTAACAATCGGCGGCCAATGGTGACGTCAAGGTCAATCTCATATGTTTTTAGCCTGCAGCCTCCGACTGATAATCTTTTCAGTGACTATGCTGCTACTTTGGAAAAACTTCTCCATAAAATTCAAATAAAATAATAGGTAGATGTCTATAGTTCTTTCTTGACAATTACTTTATGAAATTCTACATTAAGTTTCTATAAGTTTCTATTTTGATGTACAAAGTTCAAGTGACAGAAAAATATGTTGCAAATCCTTCAAATTAGATGCAGTGGTGCATCATCAGTTATATCTATTGTGGCAAATCACATAACACATTTGTTGCTCTCTCATCTCATCTTTCCTCGTTGCATCACCTTATTTGCCAACTTAGAGGTTAATTTATTTTTAGAAATAAACTTTTACTAATTTCTGATACTTTCTTTGAGTAAATTAATTTCACTTTCAACTTTCTCATTAGGGAAGGTTAAGTTTGCATTTTTCCTTTTTTATGGTTGAATTTAGACTACTCTCCTCTCTAAGATGAAAATACTCATTACACTCGGTACTTTTTGGTAAGGCCATATGTATTACACTTGACTCTGTTTGGTGTTTGGACCTATGAAGTTGTACAGTAAATAAACTTATCCAACTAGTTTATAGTTTATATTTATTTATTTTGTATTTTCATTCAATTTTCTCTTTTATTAGTTTACTCTTTTTATTTATCATTTTTAAAATTGTTACCGTGTTGCCAAAAAATTGTGACAGCTTTTTTTTTAATCTAATTTTCTGTCTTATATGATCTTTTATAATTACAATAATCATTCGTAAGAATTATTAATTTGCATGCATGGTCTATTTTAAGAGAAATTAACATGACACTCATTATTTTATACATGTTATTCCCAATTTTAAGTATTCTTAAAATATTCCTTTCACTATTTATTCTAAATTTTTTATTTTTGTCAAAAAAGATTTACTATTGGTGAAATAAATTTTGAAATTTTTGATACTCTTAGTAAATTTTGAGTATCGATTTTTGTCGTATATCGGAAATTCTTTGTATTCTACAAATTTCCGATAGTGATATATTGAAAATTTTGATTGTGATTTATCAAAAAATTTATAATTTAGGGTTAATTTTATAAAAGTTCTAAAATTTAGCAAATTTTTGGTAGAAAATCTATACCGAAAATGTTAAATTTTTGGTGTACGAAAATTTCAGTTAAATTTGAAATTTTTGATATGTCTACCGATGAAGTTTTAAAAAAGAAGTTTTATTTTTTAGTCATTTGACTATTTTACAATATACTTTTAATAAAAACAAAAAAACATAAAGTCTCATTATTATCGAAAATTTGAAATTTTCAGTAGTTTGTATTTAGAATACAAAAATATCAGAAAATTTGAAATTTTCAGTTGTCTTTCCTACACTAGAAATTTCAAATTTCCGATTTGTTAAATATTGAAAAATACTAGAAAATTGAAATATCCAGTATCGGAAATTCAAATTTTCGGTAACAATCAAATGAAACGGTAAAAAAATTGGAAATTTAATTAAATTTTTAGTATTTGTGTGAAATTTCTTAAAAAAATTGAAATTTTTAAAAATTTCAATATATTTTAAATATATTTTATAACTGTGCCATATCTAAGGGTAATAGGTATAAAATGAGGGGTGAGATGTTAATTTTTATGCCTAACAACTTTTGACAAGAAAAAGTGATGTATTACCTTATTCATCTCTATTTAACTTCTAATTAATAGTATTTTTACATTTTAGCAAATCCTTTTATTTTCTAACTTAGTATTCGCATAAGATAAGCCAGTAGAATTCGTCTAGTGTTGAGGGATTTGGGACTTGGTTTCCCACCTTATTGAGTGGGACGCGTCTTTAAAAAATTCAAAATATTATTGGGTTTATTTAGAGATTATTTTTAAATATATTAAATATTATTTTTTTTATCAAAATTTAGTTTAGAGATGCATATGTGAAGTTTTTTGAAGTTAATTTATATATATTTTTGAATATATTTTTAGTTATTTTTTAACAATTTTATTTAGATGATTTATTATTTAATCACTCACTGATATTTTCGGAGATCTATATTCAAAAATCTCCAGAGAAAAGTTGAATATATGACCATCTTATATGATCATAAATTTCATTTTCAAAAACCCTTAAAAAACTTTAATTTTCAACCAACTTTTAGATTCCAATCCAGCTTTCTTGAATTTTATCACATCAAAGGGAGCAAAAGAAGCTGTAATTTGAGTAAAGTTCTCTAATTTCTTCCCTCATTGTCTACATTAATCTTGATTTTGAGCTTATAGATATTCAAACTCACATACCATAATTTTGAATGTCTATAATCGAAATTTTATGTTACTGATTTTTAAGCATTTTTATGTTTTGGTTCTTATTACATATGGTGCAACCGAATATGTTTCTCAAAGTTGTTGTAAATAACGATATAAAACGGATGTAGTGAAAGATGATGTTAAATTTAATATTTTAAAAATCGGACCGGTCATCAAACCGATGAGTATGGGTCACTGGTTCATTGGTCGAACCACTGAGTCTCTGATCGAACTGTATGATTAAATCAGATTACTCGGTTGAATAAATCAGTCTCTATAACAAAATTATATATTTATTAAATCGGTCAAATCAGCTGACTCAGCCTCTAAAAAATATCACGACACCAAAAATATTTCAAAAAAGTTAAAATATCATAATTTCACATGTTAATTCTTTAAATTCAAATTCTAAATATAATCACCACTCATAACAAAATAATACAAGATATAAATTTAAATAAATTTTGAACCGGATTTAGTTGCAAACAAGAGAAAATTATTTCAAATAAGTTTTGAATAAAGTTTAATTATATATTTTTTAAATAAATTATGAAAACGACGTCGTTTTGTCCGAGAGGAGAAAATATATGTTTGACCCGTCAGTTTTCCAAAACTGCCAGTTCATCAGCTTTGACTTATTTTGGCCAGTTTTCACCGATTTAATAACATACCTGGTCTAACAATAAGACCAGACCGACGACCCTTCCGATTCTCAGTTCGACCGGCCGGTTCAATCCAGTTTTTAAAATACTGGTTAAACCGGATGAAGTGAAGCATGACGTTAAATTAGATGAAGTGAAAGATGTTAAACCATGTTAGGTTTTGGTTTGTTGGCTATTTTTTGGTAAAATAATTAGTTCAACGTGATGTTGGACAAGACGCCGTGACATGTTGCTACAACATTGCAACATGTGTTGTTTCTTTTTTTGGAAGATCTATTTTTGTTGTTTTTAGAAGATTTGTTTTGTTATTTGTGGATCAAGCAACATATTAAAGATTGGATTCTCTAAAGGTTTGTTTCAAAGCTGAAGAGATAATAGAAGAGGACTGGTCTAAAGAAGATGAACTTGCTCTTGGAAACTTCAAAGCTTTGAATGCTTTATTCAGTGGTAGTTGACAAAAATATGTTCAAGTTGATAAATACATGTATTGTGGCCAAAGATGCATGGGAAATTCTCAGAACCACTCATGAAGGGACATCAAAAGTTAAAATGCCAAGATTTCAGCTTCTCACTACTCAATTTGAGAATCTCAGGATGAAGGATGATGAATGCATTCATGACTTCACACGAGCATTCTTGATATTGCCAACTCTGCTAGTGCCTTGGGAGAGAAGATGCCAGAAGATAATTTGGTCAGAAAAATTCCCAGTTCATTACCTAATAAGTTTGATGTGAAGGTCACATCTATTGAAGGAAGCTCAAGATATCTGCAACATGAAAGTGGAAGAGTTGATTGGGTCACTCCAAACTTTTGAGTTGACTGTTAAGGATATATCAGAAAAGAAGAATAAAAGAATAGATTTTGTCTCCAGTAGTGATGATAGAGAAGATCAATGTGATATGGAGATTGATTAAGGTGTATCTAATGCTATTGTACTTCTTGAGAAGCAATTCAATAGGGCTCTAAAGAGAATAGACAGTTAGTCAAGACCAAATATCAAGAATATGACATTTGACATCAGCAAGAATAATAAGACTAGATCAAAGGAGAAGCCTAGTCAAGATAGAGGTATTCAGTGTTTTGAATGTGAAAATTTTGGTCATATTAGGTCAGAATGTCCCATCTTCCTTAATAAACAAAAGAGTGGATTTTCCGTGTTTTGGTCTGATGATGATGAATCAGAAGATGAACCTAAAGTTGAGTTTGTTAAGCATGTGACTGCTCTCACTGTCATATGGGGATCTGATGTAGAATCTAGTGATGAGAATTTCCTTTATGAAGATCTGGATGTGTGTTACAAGGAGCCATGTGTCATGTGTTAAGAAATCTATAAAACTTGAGAAAATCAAAAGAGAATCATAGCTCAATTGGATAATGAATTGGAGAAACTTCTACGTACTGTGTCTGATATTCAAAATGAAGTAACTTTTTTAAATTCCAAACTTGACAACATGACCAAATCCTTGAGAATGATGAACAATGGAACTGATACTATGAAAGAGACTAGAAATATAGGGGTTAATGATCAATCTCCATATCAACAAGGTAAAGTACTTGTAGAGAGGTCCATTCCTTCCGAAAAGAAGAAAATGATCACCATGTTCACCCATATGTTACAACATCCTGGCAGACACCATGAAACCCTATCTAAATCCAAGTTCTTACCTTGGATATATCATTATTATGGTGAGCATGGTCACATAAAGCCTTTTTATTACATATTGTATGGGGTTCAAAAACTTTCAGCTCATTCTAGGGCTAATCCTTTAAGTAAAAAGAGAATATCTAAAGATAGGGATATTAATATTATATCCCATACTTCTTTGAGATATTCATCTAGAGAAGATTGGTAATTTGATAGTGAATGTTCTAGATATACGATATCGATTCATAAGTTTTTGGTGGATATCAGATCTCATTCCACAGGTTTTATCACATTTGGTGATGAAGCTAAAGGTGAAATTAATGGAGTTGGAAAGTTAGTATGTACTGGCTCTCCTAGCCTATAAGACGTTCTTCTTGTGAAAGGACTAACTGCTAATCTTATCAACATTAGTCAGTTATGTGATCAAGGATTAATAGTCAATTTTACAAAATCAAAATGTTTGGTCACAAATAAGAAAGATGTTGTT